GGAGGGAGGGAAAGGAGGTAGGGAGGGAGGGAGGGAGGGAAATGGGGGGAGGTAGGGAGGGACAGCCACTTGTCACTGAAGAAGGAACAGAGCTACAGCTCCACTCCATCCTGTTGCACAGGACTGTCCTCCGACTGGCGAGCTATGGACAGATGCCTTCTTCCGAAGCTGGCTGTACCCCCTTGCTTAGGATCATCAGAAATTTGTTGACTCTCCGTAAGAAAGGAGGAGAAGGAAGAGTCAGTCATGCCTCCCAACCAACCAGTGGGGCCTAGCTGCACAAGAGGGGGGGACTAAGTGTACCTAAGTGAAAGAAGCCAGTAGGGAGGGTCTCTCACCATTTTGTGTGGCTGCTGGGAAGTCAGGAGCCATGCCTGGATGGAGACTTTCCAGTGCAGCTTCAGAAGGGGAGCACCCATACTCCTGTAAGTGAACTGCTCTATAAGTAAGCCCAATAAACTTGCTGGTTATCCAAACTGTAATTTGTCAAAATCTTACCTCGCTTTGCCTCAGGGACCGAGGGAGGAGAGGCTGGGCATTGTTCCCGCCTCCCAGAAGGAATTTTAGCAACGCACCCTTTCTCCTGTTCCAAGTTCCCAGTTTCTTTGGAATGTGCAGCTATGATTTTCTGGCTCTTCAGCCTTCAGACATCCACTGTGAGACTCTCCAGCCTCTGCTCATGTGAGCCAACTTCACAATCAAATCACGTATCTTACTGGTCCTATCTCTCTGGAGAAGCCCAACTGATTCAAAGAGCAGCTAAGTTGAACCAGCTTGGGCCAGATGCCAGATGAAGATGTGTCAGGGGATGAGGGTGACACAAAGCTAGTAAGAACCAAGGTGGACCTCAAGGAGACAGTCAAGGAGTACCATGTGTCTCATACAACAGATAGAGAGACCTGAGTTCAACTTTACACCCAAGTTTCACTCCAGCTCCAAATGCTAGGAAACACCAAGACGACGAGGATCGAGGGTCACTGCAGAACCAAAGGCTCTCTCATAGATGTCAGGACACCTTACCTCCACTGCACCAACATGCACAAGGCCCCCCCTTTACAATACAGTTACATGCCAATTTAGAGCACTGGGGTAAGGGGGGCGTCCAGGGATTCAACAAGAGGGTTACTGAGGTACCTGAAGACTTCCAGTCCTCCCACCTCACTCACAAAATGTCAAGGGGCTTGTAAAAATACCACACCAATTTAGAGAATAAATTCTATTTTTTCTGCCAATCTGAGTACACACCTGCAACCTGGTTACACAAGCACTTTACAATCCAGCTGGTACATAGCTACCTAGCTTTATCGCGCTCACCTCCTGCCTATGGACTCTGGCTGTACAATCCTTCTCTTAATTCAGGCCTTAGCCCATGCTATTTCTTCTGTCTTGAATTCTTTCTTCTCTCTTCATCTAGTTACATCCCACAGTCTTTAGTTTACCACTCTAGAATCATTTCTAAGAAGGTAATCCTTCAAGCTGCAGTTACAAATCTCTCCTGTGCAGCCGCATGGCACCCATACTTTTGCACCATGGCACCTATTTTGTAACAGAAACTAGCTTGATCCAGGAGAGTAATCTCAATGAGAGCAGGGATCTGTCTCTTCTATCATGGTCTCTAAACCACCTTACATGCTGGGCAAACAGCAATCACTCAGATCTACTGGCTCAACCACAGTGGCTCTAAGAAAAAAAAATTATCAGAATGCACACTGTGGGCTCACCCTGGCTACTTGTACAAGAATGGATCTCAATTCCTCTACCTTAGAGGGGACAATGAAAGACATTACATTCAGTATTATGAGGAATTTTCCCAAGGACAAAGGAGAGACAGAGTTATGGGCAAGATAGAAAAATTAGTGTTAAATACAGGACGAAGCAGTGTAGACTCAGAAGAGACAGCTAAAAAATCCAAAATGACCAGCAATCTTCAGCGCTCACCTTTGCAGTCAATGTCAGCGGTCCCCTCGTTCCTGGCCATGGTTTCTAAGAGCTGTCTTACTTCTTCGGCGTGGCCGTTTCTGGCATGGTGGAGAAGCTGTTGCTCTGCTTCCGAGTTCATTTCTGAATTAAAAAATAACAGCGCTGTTATCATTTAGCAGCATAGGTAGCTTTTAGATGTCACCTGCCAGTGCGGAGAGAGAATCTTGTCATTTGCAGCTCCTAAGAGACACACACAAAAAACTAGAAATCGGGAAATAAGGAACCTGGAGTAGTTTGACTTAAATAATGATTTCCATTTCATATTTTCTTATCATGCCTCAAACTAAATAAAGTAATAACCAAATTGGAAGTATTTTTTTCAACTTTTAAAACAACTTTATTGAGAATGTCATACATGCATATAAGGTGTTTTGATCAAATCCATGCTCACTCCCTCCCCTCCAACTCCTCCCTCATCTCCCCATCACTTTATCTCCTGAGAACTTCCTGTGTTCTTTTTATTTTTTCTTAAATGGGCTTTTTGCTCTAACATTCCCCCCTCTGAAGAGGTAACGCTAAAATCTTTTAAGGATTAGATAAAAGCTCCCAAATACTTTTGACATTTTTGGCCTTTGGAACGGAGTATGTTGCCAAGAGGCCCAAGGACATTGTTAGTTTTAGCCAAGAAATTGGCAACTTTTCTTTGGGGTCTTTTATACCCTAACTGCCTAGCCAATTCCTATCTCCTGTTCTTATCAGACCATCCTCTGAACAGGTTACCCAAATTGCTGATTGGGAATCAGGACGTAGACCATTCTGGCTTCTTCCACGCTGAACAGGGACACAGGGTGAGGCAATTGACGTACCCCTTCAGTGGGTCTATCTAAAAGACTCCCAAATTGCATAACTCTTATCTGTAAAAATATGGAACGCTTCACAAATTTGTGTGTCATCCTTACCATGCTAATCTTCTCTGTATCATTCCAATTTTAGTGTGTGTGCTGCTGAAGTGAGCACCCAAATTTAAAGTACTTACGTCAAAATGGGCAAATGTTATATATAACAATCCTCAGAAGATATGGACATTTCAGTCTTACCAGTAAATATAAATAAAACACAAAATTTTTGCCCATTAGCCAAAAACAAAAAAGCTGAACATGTCTAGTGCCACCAGCACAGACAGGAACTACAAACTCACAGGCACAATGCACGCAAGCTTTCATAAGCTGCACGTGAAGAGGAAACAGTTTTGCAATACCAAATCAACTTCAAAACACCATTTATGTTGAGTATTTCTAGAACTCTATCCTACAGAAGCACAGGAGACTGTTTTATAAGCATGTTTACAACTGCATCATTTGCAATACGAGAAAAGTTCAAAACACCCCCATGTCCATCAAAAGGAACTGCTCAAATAAATCTTCAGAAAGCCTAAGAAATGGTCGCTAAGCTAGAGGATACTGGGAAGAGGGCAAGATGTGGTTCAAGACCGAGCAGCCAACAGAGTGAACACCAAGTCCCCAGCCAGCCTCCCGCCCTAATCAGCATTCCTCATGCTGCCAAGCCAGGAACCTCTCTCCAAGAGACATAGCTAGTTGTATTTCCCCAGAGCACATTCCAAGACACACACACATACACACCCGGCTCTGTCAGCAAATGATCAGATGAGCCTTACATGAGGCTAGCAGTGGATCGGGCCCACCACCTTTCTCAGTTTCCAGTCAGCTTTCTAGTCCCTTGTTCTTAAAACAAGAGCCAATTTCCAAACACAAGACAGATGAACAAAGCTTCTAAAACACAAAAGGTAGAGACCAAAACCATACGAGGAAGAAAAGCAACTAGGGAAGTCATTCAGAGAAAATGAAAACCAAGACTCTTAGTAGGGTTATATCCTATAAGAACAACTTCAAAGCTTTTCTTAGCTGTGTGCCTTTAATCCCAGCACTTGGGAGGCAGAGACAGACGCAGACGAATCTCTGTGAGATCAAGGCCAGCCTTGTCTACGCAGTGACTTACAGGCCAGCTGGGGCTACAGGGAGACCCTGTCTCAAACAAAACAAAACAATACAATTCTTAAAACTACAGGGAAAGAAGGAGTCTGGAGAGATGGCTCTGACGTTAAGAGCATTGGCTGCTCCTACAGAGGACCCAGGTTTGGGTCCCAACATCCACAAACTGTCTGTAATTCCAGTTCCAAGGAATCTGACATCCACTTGTAACCTCCACAGCCACTGCACTTATATATGCAGGGGGAAAAATACACATAAAATAAAAATAAAAATTACATAAAAAATGGTGGAAATTAAAACCAGTAAAAGTAAAGAGTTCAATAGAAGAATTAGAAAATAAAGCTGTGCTGGGCATGGTGGTGCATACCTTTAATCCCAGAAGACAGATCTCTGTGAGTTCAAGGCCAGCCTGGTCTACATAGAGTTACAGGCTAGTCAGGGCTACAAAGTGAGACCCTGTCTCAAAAACATAACCAGACAAATAAATTCTATTAAAATCTTAAAATTTCAAAACTACTTAGGTTCCTTCTAAATAAAGCTGAAAATACTTCCTAGAAAATAAAAGTATTAGGAAAACAGTACAGAGAAGTCAAATTGGGTGTTACAGGATTATAATTGCAGCACTCTGAAGGCTGAGATGGGAGAATGCTGCAAGTGCCAAGGCCGGGCTCAGTTACATAGTGAGTTCAAAGTCAGCCTGTGATACACAAAGAAGCCCTGTGAAGAAAATCTCACAGAAGTGAAGGGAATGCTAACCAACCATTACAAAGTTTCCGGTCTACAGATGAAAGACATCCACCAAAGCTCACCACCACGACATTTTAGAAACATAGGCAAAGAAAATTCTGCAAGTTTCTGGGGAAGGAAAGAATCATATAAAGAAGCAATAATCAAAATGATTGACTTCTCAAGTGCAACATAAAACAGCTAGGAAATAATAAATAGCACAAAACACTGGAGGAAATCATTTCCAATCTCAAATTGTGCACCAGTTAATCAAAAGTGCGAGTCAATAAGGACTGGCAGGGAACCCAGGACCTGGAACAGGCTAAGCACATACTCCACCAGGCGGTGCCACCAGTCCAACTCTATTTTCAGGTATGTGAGGACAAAATATATTTCGCATATGATTTCTTAGAAAACTGAGGACATGGCCTCCATTTCAGAAACCAAGAACACTGTAGAAGTGGAATACAGGAAAGTGGCAAGGGGAGTCCCTTGAGTGAAGAACTACTTGACATGTGGCTGTGTACCTGGCCTACATCATACCTAGATTTGGTCTGTCTGGACCATGTGCTAGCACCCCTGCTTCCACATTCCGCTGTCAGAAGACAATTATATCTCCTGAGAACTGTTTCCACCTATACCAGAGACCCAGAGACCTGCTGCAGAGCTCAACTGGAAATGAAGAGCAGCCCACTTCCTGAACCAGTTCCCACCAGTCAGAGGCCCAGCCCTGGTGCCGGATGTCACAGCACTGGGAAAGGCCAGCTCGCTCACATTCAGGTCTTCATTTACTCATTTCCCTTTGATAGTATTCCAAGTTCTCAGCAGACAAACCCAAACTCTGATACAGTGACTTACATTCAGAGTCATTTTCTCAGCAGACTTCTAACAGTGACCATAGTGTCTCATTTTCTCATAGCGTGCTAATTAACTTTTATACATTTACCCTGAGTTCATTCACTTGTTCACGCCAATTAAACTATTTGACTAATCATCTTAAAATTTCAATGACACTTAGGTTCCTTGTAGCATTAATGTAAAGTTTAAAAAAAAAAAAAGCATTCGCATATTCATCATGAAACCATGAAACCTTTAAAAATTCCCTGGAAGCCAGGCATGGTGGCTCATGTCTAATCCCAGCATTAGGGAGACTGAGGCAGGAGAACTGTGGCTACAAGCATAAAGTAAGACTACCACAAAAGGGGGGAAAATATGCAGATTGTCTGGTTAACCTGAATCTTTTTTTCTTTTTTTTTTTTATTTAAAATTTTATTTTTTACAATTAAAGTTACAGTTTTAACAATATACAAAATATTACAGTAATTCAGATTTTTTGGCATAATGATTACAGATTTGATAAATACAATTAATATCTCATAATAGTGATGAGGATTATACAAAAGCTATTAAAACAATTATGAGAATAAATTCTATTGTCACTTAAGTATCTAAAGCTATTTTCCTTTGCGTTCTTCCAGAATGATTTGTTCTTATTCTTTACCTTAATTTGAGGGACTTCAAGAAGATA